GATTTCGGTTGATTGCTGTATTGTCGATTCCCCTGTCCCGCCCCCTGTCCTTCGCCATCGACGAATTGTTTCTTTGATTGATCTCGTATCGGTGAAATGGTCTATGAACGCAGGGGTGCGATCGGGTTTTTTCCAATCGCCCGAATACTGAGATAGAAATTGAAAAAAAGAATTCCATTTTTACGGTTCGTTGTAGCGAAGGATGACGGTAGCTGCCGAAACACTAGTGACGCGCGATTGTGACAGGGAAATTGGTTTTTAAGGCATTTTGTACGAAGTACAGAATTAAGATATACGTTGGAACTTTTAAGAATGTAAGAACTTGGTGCCAAAAGTGTTCGTTTAATGAGATTTCGTTACTAGGACAGGAAATTGGTTTCTCGGACTGTTAACTTCATCCCTTTTATCTATATTTGTGACACGAATTCTCTCTTCTTTTCGTTCAAATTTCTTATTCGGAAGATTGAATTTGTACATCTAGAAAAGGAATTCTTTTCATTTACAGTTATAAAGTATCCTAGGATAAATTTTCCAAAAATATTAGGAAAAACACCCGGCATAGTGTATAACAGTGCTGAACATACCTTGTGCGGATAGGACCCATATATCGTCTATTAGAAATACTCGAGAGCCGCATACTCTGTTTCTATTGGAACGGTATTAAATTGTAAGTTACGCTTACAATCTATGTGTATATCAGCATAATACAGCCAGCAAACATACAAAAATACCATATTACATGCATGTATGTTTTATGTGTCAAGTTTATAAAAAAATATTGTAGTACCTACATGGGAGCCGCAGTAAGGGTCTAAATTAGCCGTGTGCAGTTTGCAAGTCGCAGGTTGGCAACTGTGTGTATATAAATTTCCGTTTTGAAATAAACCAGGATTTACCAAGATTGTATGTTAACAATTTATTCAGTTCAGATTAAAACATAGTGAACAGTATCTGTAGAGGAACAAACATCGACAAGTATAGTAATAGTTTGAAACTAATCGAAATGTATCAGAATTGGTACCAATATCTCGCAGTCAGGTTAATAACGGGTAAATAATATTTGCGAACCAAGAATCGTCGTTAACAAGCAACCCTTCATGCGGGAAGATTCGAGTTTTAATTGTTACATGTACGTGACAGACACGAGGATCTTGTTCCTCGCAGTGACGAGAAGTGCCAGCAGTCAGTACTCGAAGAACGTACAAGTGTTTTCCACTACGCCCCTTCGCCGAGACCCCTCTTGCAATTACAACCCCCTGTCTCGGTGGATGCTCTTCGCCAAAGTCGATCCGCGAAATACTGTTACCGCACTGTTTCAAATTTCAGACGCTACATCCGACCTCGTTCCACCGTTCACGCTGTGAAATCCCATGGATAATATAATCAGAAATCGTAATGCTGCGTCTTCATCAGAGATTTAATATCGTTGGAACGATAACGTTGAGATAAACAGTGTCGCAAGTTTGCCGCGGAAGTTTCAGTACGATTATTCGCGGTAGAGGAAGATAAAGCGTAAAATTTTCGGTTCCTTTTCGTTGCGTTACATCAACCGGAAAGTTTGAAAGCAGTATTTCATTACAAAGTAAAAGTCTCGAATAACAGAGGAGAGATGAAAGACTTCATCGCTCGTTACTTGTCGAATAGTGGCGAGTGTTTTACTTATACAATATAATAATATTGGGTTATTAGAAAAGTTTGTAATATTTTTAAGAGCAGAGTTACAATCTATATTTTTCAGTTTGTATTATATTCCTATTTAGTACTTCTTTTGCAGTTTCTTTCTATTTCTCTTCTAAAATCACTTCAACCTGCTTTTAGATGGATTTTGTTCTCAAAGTTCTTCCTCGATACAAAATATTTTAGCGATCTAAAGTAATAATCATTTAACTGTGTAAAGTTTAGAATTCAGTAAACAATTTAAAAATTTTCCAGTCGATGTAGTGTCATTTCTTTGCAAGTTCGATAAAAAGTAATTAAAAATGGACTTTGTGTTTGTTTATACGTTTCGTTGATACTTCTTACAGAAAACGAAGCAAACTACGAGTAATTTGTTAATAGTACCCGTTTATCGGATCAAACAATTTTTTCTTCGATCACTAAACAAGCAACGAAGACACCGTGCTAGAAACGCTAAAAACTTTCCAAACGACCCAATATTTTAAATAAAATTTAAAAAGATGTCTTCTAATAACTAATTACTTTAGAAATGATTATTACAAATATCTCACGTCTAAAACGAATTAGAAAATTCATTCAAAGTTTCCAAAATCCGTAAGTTTTTTAGGCAAAGTATCGCTTCCAAATACACCTCGGCAGCATATATAGGGTGAACCACGAAACGTGAACAGCATAGATTATTCTGTTGCTAGCTGTTCGATCGAAATGTTTTTTGCGTGTTTAACCATCAGTGCAGACGACATAAATAAGTATTGCAGCTGATGGAAACCATTTTAAACTTCGTTTCAATGCACATGATATTTTCTTAATGATTCTTTGGTTCAAAACAAAACGTTATTTGTTATGATACTTACAATAATAATAGGTTTATCTGTAAAGAAGTGAAGGTAATCTTGAAAACTGGAAAAAAAGGGTTGACATAAAATTTGGTACAATCACGTGCAAGCTCTCATCGAATCACGTTATACTATTTAAAAAACGGTTCGATCGAACAACTACGAATAAAATAATCTAAGCTGATCACGTTTCGTGGCCCACCCTGTATAATTAATATTTCCGTTTCTAGGTCACGAGAGAAGCCGAAATATTTCTTTCCCTCCCAAATATTATTCCAACCGAACCGAATTCAACTTTCAATTCGAAGCTCCCCCCTCTCGATGTCGCCGGGCTTTCTGCCCGTATTAAACGCGAGATTACCAGATGTAACAGACGCGCCGGACGAACGAGAAATCCTCCTCCGTTCTCGTTCTTATCCAACTGAGAAAAGGAAAAACCGTATCTGAGACTCCGTTGGAGTATCTCTGTGTGTGTGTGCGTGTTTCCTTTCCGGTTGTCGAATCTCGGCCAGGCTCTCGATGCCGTACCGTGACTTTTGCAGGCCGGCATAGAAGAAACGGGGGCGATCCGAGGAACTCCTGTAATAGAATTCATCGAAAGAAAAAACGACGACGACTGAATATATTCGGGAGCTGGTCCAGCCGGATAAAAGGATAGCCTTCAGGGGGTCACTTATCGAACATTCCCGGGCCAGTGGTTAAGACGGGCCAGAAAAAAGAATCTCTCCATGGACAGTGGGTTCCGCAACGGTTTCGTGGAAGGACCGCCGTTATCGTCGTTCGGATATCGAACGTGTTAGCCTACAGCAGAGGTGTGTCCACGGCGAAAGAATCTGGCCACTCATGCGTATCAAGTGAAATACAGGGTAGCCGGAAGTGCTGTCTCAATGGGAAAGGATCCTCCTCGTTCCGTGAGGCTGCCTTTGGAAAGACATCAGCCTCGCGCAGCTCGATGGGCCACGGTGAATCGTCGAGCGAAAACAGACGAACCAGAGGTTGAAACGGCCCCGGAGTGCTCGAGCGCCGGGGAGTTCGCCTCGTTCCAACTTCCAAGGCAACGGGACAGACGGGAAACTTCGGGAACCGTGGAACGATACCACCTCTCCTCCGTTCGGCCGTTGAAAAGTTCCACGGAAGTGTTACGAGCGGCACGGGCCAACCTGATGGAATCTTTTCTACTTTTATAAGTGAACCCGGTGGTCGGCTACCGTTTACGGGAACCAAGTGTGTAACCACAGTGTCCACACGGACTGGATTCATTAGTCGTGATCGTTATTTCCCGCGGACAGTTTATCCGAGGCTTTTGAGAACGTGATCGAGATCTCATTGGTCCGTGTTAGCATGAATACTTGTAGACACTGCTATCGGACAGGCCGTACACTTTGCTCGTTTAACGTTTGAAAGCTGATAGGGGGGAGGGAATTACTTGGGAGATCGACGGTTCAAGATACTCTGTTATCACGAGATTGTGATCGTCGTTAGCAACAACAATTCGTGCCTTCGATTCGCAACGTATACTATAGAACTTCAGAGATCGATAGTCAGATTGATAGAAACGGTCTGGGTTAGGGGTCTCGATACATCTTTCTTCGTTCCGTCGCACTGCCCCTGACGCAAGTAGGAAAGTGATTCGTTTTCTGGCCGATAGCGATCCCCGGTCCGTGGGTACGCTTTGAGCGTATCATCGAGGACCCTCCGTAATCCTGATGAATTTTACTCGGACCCGTTGGCAGTGAAAAATGTGGAAACCAAACGAAGGATTCGACGGGGTGGATCTTCCGTCTGGACCAGTTTGCCGGGCAAGGATGTTCGTTCGGTTCGGGTCGAGCAGCTAGGAACGAAATCGATGGAACGTGGCGCACGTGAGGACCGTTGTTCGACTGGCGACCTGGAATGGAGGTGAAGTAGGATCACTTCGATACTTTGGGGATTCAAAGAAGAATGGCGGTGAAGTGACGAAGAATTTATGGGAGATAGGTTCCATTAGAAGAGAGAGAAATCTTGACGCGGAGAGTGGGGCTAGCACGAGTTAAAAATTGGATTCCGGGCGATTCGATCGAACGGTTCTCTGAAATATATATAATGCGTCGGATGAAAGAAGTGCATACAAGAAGAACAACACAGGTAATATTAGTATTCGCAGACAAACTGAACAAATGATATCGAAAGTATTATCGAAATAGTAAAAACGATGACTGGAAATTCATAAGACTTCGGAAAGAACGTATGGAACGTCACTAACTATGGGAACAAAGTAGTAAAAAAATAACAGACAAATCCAAAGGACTGAAAAAAAATTTAGTCAGAGGATCATCGTTGTAGTTCTTTGTAATTTCAAGTAACAGCAGCTGAATCTTCGAAGAGAACAAACCGAATTTATGAAAAACCATCCGTGAGAGCAAAGTAACGCACAAGCCAACAAGAATTATTTCAGACACTGGGGTCATTAAGAGGGAACGGCTCATTGTAAGAAGAGATTTCAGTGCTATGCATCGTGTTGGCTCCTGGAGCCTCGATGACCCTGATTCAGCGAGCATGAAGCACCCATCGAGGTCACCGGGACTTGAGATTGCTATGGCACTGTTCGGGATGGTCTGGCTGCTGCGTGTTCGCTCAGAGATGCGCCGGTGCTCAAAATGCCGGCACGAGGAGATTCTGGCGGCTCAGCAGCAGCAGCAAGAACAGCAGCAGCAACAGCAACAACAGCAGCAGCTGCAGCAGCAACAACACCATCACCTTCACCATCATCCTCATCACCAGCAACGAACGCTGTCGCAGACTACCAGTCTGTTACAGACTCCTGAGGACGGAGTTAGCTCCTCAGCGAATACTTTGTTCACTTTGGACACGCCTGGTGCTGCTGGTTCCGCCGGAAGTTACTGCGAGGTCCATGGATTCGTGCAGGCGAAAGAAGGTAGTACCACTAATTTCCTGATTTCTCGTTATCTTTTATGACACCTGGATTTTACAGTACTAGTGTAATTCTGTAAGTAAAAATTCTGGGAAACAATTTTGGACTCGAATTGGGTTAACCTAGGACTGAGAGATGCATATCGAAAGAATTTGAAATCCAGATATCAGAATTGAACCTAATTAGGACTGATAGACTGTAATCCGACCATTTTGAGGTCGGGAGATTCAATTTCGAGAACTTCTTAAACCCCTGAACCTAACCCTGAAGTTCCCTAAATAAAAGTACCTAAGCACAAGATGGCCAAACTAGATCCCTGGGTCCTAGCTACAATATCCCCGGACCCAACGGGGACTCTGTCGGTCCTCTAACTTGGGTTCAGGAGTACCCAGGTTGTAGTACCAAGAGGGACCCTTAGTATATGTCCTTTGATAGCAAGCAAGCTAGGGTCCTTGGACTTGAGGTCCTCTGGTTTGGGTTCCTATGTCCAAAAATCTCTGGGGTCAGATCTCTGGGTTCCGGATAGATATGATTCATGTCTCTCACAATCAGTTCTGATTTAGTCCAGTTTGAGTTTCCTGTTCCTGGGTTATCCTAATTCAAATCCTTTGACCCTAAATGGGTCTAATTAAAATCTATCGGATCTATTTGATTCAAGTCTCTCGGTACTGAATTAGTCTACCCTGTCTCTTATTCTTGAACTAGTCTTACCGTCCTGATCTGATTCGAATTATGTATCCAAGACCCGTATCAATTTATCTAGAATCTCTAATCTATTTTAACACAGAATTGCCAAGTAATTTTATATTCCAGCCGTAATTTTCGTTGCAAACTATTAGATTTCAGTGCTCATTGTCTGCCATCCGTGACAAACTCTGCGAGCAATTCCCCGGAGCCCTTCAAGACGCTTTATCCTAATCCCCGGTCTATAGTTCGAAAGAACGATTATGATTTTCTTTGAAGTACTTCAAGAAGTTTCCGACTACTTTCGTAATACGGCGGGGTCATATTATTAAAGAATAGAAGAATGTTACTAAGCGAGGATGCTCGAAAGAAGTTTTCAAATTTACGGGTATAACGCCAGCCCAAGCTTCTTCCGTATGTGCGACGAACAACCCGAAAACCAAAGTAGGTCGTTTACATGGATGGCGCGGCGTAGACCGGAGGGCAAAACTTTTATTTTCCTATAGAAATGGTACGGCTTGTCGTGCTTTCGCGAAATTCACGTTTCGATTCCGTTGCGAAATCGCAGTTTCGAACTCAATTATTAATATCGTCGACGAACGGTCAGTGCTCGTCTTCTTTTGCGTCGTACTGAGTTTATCTTCTACATAAACAAGAATATTTCGACGCATTTCCTTCTCGTTATCGAATTGTCGCGCGTAAAAGTTATGATTACTAAGAATCGCGAGCGTTTCCAGCGAAACTTAATCGAGGGAGGAGGGAAAATCAGCGTTCCTGGCTTTTGTCGTCGTGGCCATAAAAGCCGTCCGCCAACCGTTCCCCAACAAATCGTCTTTTATCGGTATTCCTCATCTGTTGGTCACGGCGACATCATGACGCCGTGAGTTGCCGAGTTTGTTGCCGCTTTTGTCGGGCATTCTCATTGTTTCTCGAGCAACAAGGGAGCATCTGTTTCATAGGTAACCATTCCACCCCCTCCCCCTGTACCTTTTCCCCTTCCCACTCAGCTACGTTTCCGTCGCTCTCATTTGAATGGCATTGTATTGCCCAAGGTAAATTCGCATTAAAGACCAAGCGAGCGAAGTTCGGGAGAGCCTTGCGTCTCGGGCAGAAATATATGTACATATATGCAATTTACCGTGGACCTTCGTTGAATATCAATTAAGGGCAGGTGATTCGATTCGTGTATGATAATGAGTCTATATGCCGAGTTGGTAAGGGCGACTACGTTATTTGAATTCGAAAATAAAACGATAATTAGCCCAGTCGAGGAAGCGTGGCGGTTCTGTAAATCCATATTTATCTCTTCGAATGTGGTTTATTGAATATACTTAAGAACGATGGAGTATTTTCTAATTCTATATTAAATTATCGAAATTATTCATTTTATATCCTTGGTCATTATTACTATGCAAAAGATGGCGAAAATATTTCGAATGGAAACTATGAAAATATTGTGACTTCATCGTTTTGATCGTAACGATTTGGAACTCCGTGATCAAAATTAGAAAAGATCGTTATCTTTTGATTTCTTATTATGTTCAGTTTGTCTTCACTATAAATCGAAGACAATCACAGAGTTTAGTCCTTGACCAGTTCATATTCTATAACTTCGAACGAAATCTCGAAAATACGTGCAGTCAGTCATACAATCTAACAACCCTTAAACTACTTTCCCACTATGAAACCTTGTAATAATTCGCTCCGCTACGAATTAGTGACAGTATAACGCAAGTTGGAAACACTTTCAGGGTTGCGAAACGACACGTCGCCGCGGAACTCGAGAAAAATTGATAAAAACGGTTTCACGCCATTTCCAGAGGAAAATCGAAGCGTTCAATTTTAATAAAACGAAGCCAGACATTGTTAACGTATATTCGACGCGCAATCTCCATTCCACGGGTATGAAAGGCGGCAAAGAGAGACCGGGAAGCCGTTTTACGCAGACCGTCTTTCTTTTTGTTTCTTTTTTTTTTCAACGACGCACCCTTTTATCCGGCATCCAGCATGTACCTACCTATGGTCCACCTACTTGCTCGACCCAGTTATGAAATAGTTTTCCTCGCGGCGCGTCGAGGGGGTGGGGGGCGAGTGGCGACTACGGCGGTATCGCGCTTTAAAGCTGAAAGCATGTTCGTGTCGTGCAGGCGCGCGTCGGTTGTCGTATTGTTTCCAGTTTATTATCTGCGTCTGAGAGCGGACTTCTCTCGCGAGGTTACGGACAAGAGGCGAATAAAAACCATTGGGTTGGAGGGGGGAACGGTCGACGGGGGGTCGGACATAGGAAACTGGGAGAAAGTTCCGTGATTTAGGATACTTAGTACTTACTACCGTCGACGAGAAAGGGACAGTTTACTGCCGACCACAGGCCTAGGATGTTCGGGAAGAAGAACATATTGTTGACTGTGAAGTGGATCGATGTAAAATGGATACGAAAGGGCAAGTTTTCCTGCTTGTAAGTATTAGGACACTTATCGAATGTGCAGTAAATTTTATAAGTAGACTGTGGATTATATGCATTTAGAGCAGGTGCGAGTCTGTGGCAGAGTTGGGCACAATTTTATTCGAATAATATTGTAGTGAAAAGCTGCAGTATCTAAGGGTACCATTATGAAGTTTAAGCAGTTAATGAGACTATGTAATAAGTATTATTGTATTATGAAAATTGGAATTTTCATGTATAAACGATTAAAAGTGACGAAGTACTTTTTTTAATCTTTTATTCGTTATTCGAAACTCTGTATCTAGATATTGAATTTGCCGGTCTCTGCTACTGTCTTATTCTTGTCATAATAGAAATGGAAGAAAATGTAATCTTTACATTTGTCTTTACAGATCACTTCGAAAAATATTATTTTGCATAAAAATCCGCAGTCTAGTTATTAGGTATTATGAAATTGCTGAAAGTTCCAAATAAATACTGTTTAGAGGATGTTAAATTTCGGTGGATAACATTAATGCTAGTATAAACTAATGAACGTGGCCTAAAATATATCATTTTTACGATCACATCAATAAATTCATTGTGCAGACTTTGTATCCATTTACTTACGAAGGATAGCGTACACGTTTTTCTAATGATAAATCCTAGTTTACTCCAATAATACTAATTTTCGTTAAACAATTTTGTAGAATCTTGAACCACATTATAAGAATAGATATCACTATACATTTATTAAATGAATAAATACCTATGTGGTGCATCGAAACCAAAAAAATTGAATAAATACGTATCGAGTGTATATTCCAGTCATTGTATTCGTTGGCTCAATCACTGGGTAACTTGTTTAACATAAAACGACATTAGCACACTGGAATTCATTCGTGTTAACGAGTCTCATGATCGAATCTGTTCACCAAGCAAAACGATGCGCGAGCGTACACGCAGCCGAGTAATTCGTTCGCGGAATATCATGTATAGATCTAATTGAACGTCGAGAGAATTAATAACCGAAATTTATTAACTAACGAATCATTATCGAATACACGGAAATCAGTTATCGAGACGGGTCGAAATGATCGCTAGTGGTGATTTGTTCAGTTACCTCTCCTGGAGGGATAACAATTTCGAGAGGGTAACCGAACACCGTTTCCCCGTCCGTGTGTTCTGTTAATTATTTATTATCTTGTATCATCCGGGTAACGAGCCACGGCGGAGTACTTAGCGAATGAAAACGAGGCCCCTGTAGGTGTATACCTCGTTATCCTGATTCGTCGGTGAGCGCCGCGCCGGGGGCGAGAAAAAGAAAACGTGAGATAGAGACGAATGGTGGGGAATCGTCAAAAGCAAGGGGGCCGTCCGATGTTAATTTACATCAGGACAGACGGGAAGAAAACCACTTCGCGCGCTAAAAAACTATCCATGCGGCGCGCATTAACGCGCACATCTCTCGTCGCGGTCGCGTAAGATATCTATTTCCAACGATTTGAACCGACATCTCGTGTAGGCACGACGTCCCCTTTTAATCATCGTCTTCTCTCATTCTCGTTTCTGCTTTTTTTTCTCTCACTCTTCTTTTTTTTTTTTATCAGCAATGGAGTGCTGCTTTTTATCAACGGCGAAGTACCGCGTTCAGTCTCTATGCTGATTTGGATAAACCTCGAAAGAGAGAGGGAGAGTCGTAGTGTCGTTTCTAAAGATGAATATATTACGGTTGCTTTAATTTGTACGGGATATGGAAAGTCGACGTTTCCTGGAATTAACTAGACTAATTGTCGGTATCTTATACGTTGATACGAACGAAACTGATGGATTGAAGGGTATTCGTGACAGGGAGAAATTTGAGTCCTTGTAGAGGAAATTGTTGTTTGAGTGAGTT